ATTTCTGATTTGTAAGGGAAGCACAGTTTCATCCCCTGGGTAACCATTATTTTTCAAGAAAAATATATTTATATTAGATTTATTGACACGTAAATGAAATGCCAGTTTATCTTATTAGTAGTTTAAGGAGTTAAACCGTAAATATTAGTATTTCTTCTTGAGTCCACACTCGTATACTCTTGAGGACAACCACGGAACAAGAAAAAGTTGATCGACCCATATGGCAAAAATACTTACTTAATAAGTTAAGGCACCAGACACACATAGTAAGCAGGCAACCAGTATTTTTTTATATATCAAAGGAGTGACAGACAAGATCTCGAACATACTTAATAAGTACTCAATGAATACTGTCTTCAATCCTTTACAAAAAGTGTCACAGTTTCACGATCTCCCAAAGACAACTTCCCTTTGGAGAAACCTGGTGTATATAAGATCGACTGCAGCTGTGGTAGTTCATATATTAGCCAAACGAAGCGGACAATAGCGTGCCGAATGAAAGAACACATAAAAGCAGTCAGAAACAATGATACGCAGAAATCAGCTATCGCGGAACGTTTAATCGATTCGGGTCCTAATCACTGGATTGAGCTCCATAATCCACAAATCATCTCGACAGAACGACACTACATACCAAGATTGGTCAGGGAAGCGATTGAAATAACCAAACACAAAAATTTCAATCGTGAGGATGGGTTTAAATTGTCAAGTGTCTGGAATCCAGTGGTTCCTATGTGCAAAAACCGCAAAAATTAAAAAAGTATCGTTCCGCGATCTGATACTGTGAGCATTGTGTGTCGGGAACATCGAGCGCAGTAAAAGACGACGTCAGAGGGTAGACCGATATGTCTGCCAATAACATCTACCTGCAATTACTTCAGTTACTCCGTGATCATGGCACTTGCAACAGTGCCGAAATATCGGAGAGACAGAAAAAACAAGGTACATGGTAACAGTCCCGTTAATAGCTATAATCCCAATATTTTGTCCATGATTTTGTATATTCTTTTATGATTATGCTTTTGTTTTATGAAAGATATTTGATTTTTCTTTTTGGCTGTCAAGGTTGTTTTTCTTTAATCATAAAGAAAAATATATCGTAAACCTGATCTAGTCACGGAAAAATACACTTCTGGACACATCTATTGGCCCACCTTAGAGTTTAGGTTTCGATGGCCCCTACCGAAATATGATTGCTAGATTGAACAAAAACTGTTGATGCAGTTTTAAACCTGATACATTTTACCATCTTTTTCGATCGTATTGTTTTAAATTTGAATTCAGAATACCATACGACATGGAGCTACGCCTAACAAGTCGGATATGCGCCTTGTTAAAGGCAATTGATTTTTGAATAAAAAGCATGTTTTATCAAATAAAGGTTTAATTAATTTAATAACGCGTGTTGCCTCCATGGGCATCCACCACAGCTCTCATAAGATTAGGCATAGAGTTTATCAACCGCTCTATGAAATTTTGAGGGATCATCTCCCATTCCTCTTCTATGGCAGTTTTCAACTCCTGCATCGTCTGGGCAACTGGCTGATGAGCCCTAACACGTCTTTTTAGCTCGTCCCACATGTGCTCAATGGGGTTCATGTCTGGGCTTCTGACTGGCCAGTCCATAACTGTGATGTTCACATCCCGAAGATATTTCCTGACGATGCCGGCCGCATGGGCTCATGCATTATCAAGCATAAAAAGGAAATTTGGGCCTATATAGTCCGCGTATGGTATCACGTGAGGTTCTAAGCACTCACGAATGTACCTTTCAGCATTTAATAGCATTTAATGTTGGCAGCCGTGGTCCTGTAACAACCTCAAGTTGATATTTGTTTCTTAGGTTTTCACGCACATCACTCATTAAATATAACTAGTTTTTACGGGTTAATGCACGAAAACTTTATTTATTTATTTATTGACGTTTCGTAGTCTTTACAGGCTACGTCGTCAGAATAAAACTTTTATTCTGACAAGTTACCCGTAAAAACTAGTTTTATTTAACCTCAAGTTGAGTTTTGCCGCTCGCGGATATACCGCCCCAGACAGTCCATGAGTCACCGCCATAAGCAACCCTCTCTTCAAAGCAGCATTGTGCGAAACGCACTCCCTTACGTCGGTAGACCTTCTTCCTTCCATCATTGCCATGTAACACAATTTTAGACTCATCAGAAAAGAGTACACGGCTCCAATCTTGCTGTGTCCAATTTCAATGACTGCGTCCGAAATGAAGGCGCGCTGTTCGGTGGGCTCGCGTTAGTTTGGGCCCATTAGCTGGCTTGTGTGGTACCATATCGCGTTCTTTTAACCTTCTCCGAACAGTTCGAGCGCTCACAGATACTCCGTGGAAGTCGCGAATTTGTTTTTGTATCTCAATGGAGGTAAGGTGACGATTTCTCAAGCTGGTCGTCACGATGAATCGATCCTGCCTTTCAGTTGTGACCCGAGATCGTAGCCTTCCTTGGCGACGAACAAAGCCGCCAGTCTCTAGGTACCTCCGATAAACATTTCGGACCGCAGATCGACTTAAATTAAGTTGAGCACTCACGTTTCTTTGGCTGTGTCCGGCCTGAATAAGTGCCACAGCTTAGGCGGCGACTTCAGGTGAAGTATCCATAGATTATTGATAGAACCTCACCTTAATGTTAAGAATAAGTAATGTTTGTTGCAAAACCAAAGATATCAATCACTTTTTCAAGAATTAAATCCAAGTAAACCAATAAAACCAAGTTTTCTTAGTATTCGATTGTTTGATATCAACAAACAGGCTCTAAATTGTCTTTTGTTTCTTTAAATTCTGTGTTCGAAATTCAAAAAAAGACTATTGAATGAAATTGTGAATGTGCCAGGTTCAAAACTACATAAAAACTTTGCTCGACCTAATATAAAATTTTAGCTAGGACCAAACGAAACTGAAAATACAAGGTGGGCCAATAGATATGTCCAGAAGTGTAGTATCTGTTGATCTTGCAGTGTGTGCTCGGGATTGGGATTTTATCTGTTGTAAAATGGGTTCCCAAGCTGGTGATATATACCAACCATCTTCCCTATTGAAATTTGGATATTTATTAATCTCAATAGGTTCGCGTATCATCCTAGGAATGAATCGTTGTTCAGTTGCAAGGATCTGTGGTTTATCAAATCTAATGTAATGGTTTGGTCCCCCTAATGTAACATACATTGTTATTTTCACAAACTGTTAGTTTTATGCGAATGAATAAATCAAATCAGTGCAACCTACCCGTTGAAACTTGTTTTAATTAATGAGTGATGTGCGTGAAAACCTAAGAAACAAATATTTATTATAGTAATAAGTAACCTTGTTTGTTAGTCCGCACGCCTGTCCGACGACATATTAAGGGTAAAATGTAGGTGGAAAGGTGGTATATAAATTCATATATTATTATAAAGGGCATAAAATTTAAACCATATTTTTCATAAGATAAAGAAAAAAAAACGTTAAATTATGTATATACTAGCGGGTGTCCGTGACTTCGTCAGTGTAAAAATATATTTCCTATACTAAATTTCGTCCTCTATTTCAACCAAAATTTTAATTCCGTGAGAAAAAGTAGTCCAAGGCGCCCAAGGCCTCATTTATGTCTGTGTCATAATAATCGACTATGGTGAAGGTGTGAGGGCGTAACAAACAAACAAACTCACTGGCATTTATAATGTTACTTATGATGGGTAAGCATAAATATGTTTGTCATATTACATAAAACAAGTTTTAACGTTGTAAACGTTTCAGGCCTGAAAAGGATGCGAAATGACAAAAAACAAATAAATCAGCGCATCTATACCGTTGAAACTTGTTTTATTTAACGAGTGGTGTGCGTTGTAACGTCGTATCTACGCCATTGCTTTGATAAATAAATATTAAATAGTTTGACATCCGTCACTCAAGAATTTTCCTTATTTTAAGTCCCAAACATTAAAATAAGTGTTTTTGATAATTAGTTTTATTTTAAATACAGTACATTAACAATAATTGTTAAAACTATATTACATATCTAAATTTAAGTATACTTTTGTAATTAGTGGTTTGTCTATACCCGAATTTCATTTTTATGTGAGAACACTGAAACATAAGGCGAATTTTGAAGTGAGAGCTGGCAGCACTTTTCGATTTAAATAAGAGATGAATGGTCGTCATTGTAATGTGAATAAAATAATAATAATCGTATTTAAACATCAAAAATTGCTTAAAAAATAAAAACATAACTTCTATTTTTTTCTAAAAATGCGTTTACGCGTTAACACCAATCAATAAAAGAGCCAATGGCCCCTTTATTAATTAATTAAGGAGCCATTGGCGTCTGGTTGGTTGATTTAAATTGTGCCGACGGGACACGCCATTTTGCCAAGCCTTCTCTTACAAAAAGTTCTTTTGTTTCATCTTTTCCTTTTTCTTATATTCCAGTTCTTTTCGTTTCAATAATAAATATGTCGTAAATCAAAAAAAGGTGAATTAAACTCATTGAACCTGAAATGAAGGCAAAGATGTTTGTCATCAAAGTAAGATAAACAAACCTATGTACTAAAGGCTATCCACTACCATGGGTATGTGCTTTTAATTACAAATAAATAGAAGAGAAAAGGACATCTCATTATAACCCGACGTCAAAACTGGCCTCGCGATTAGAGGTTCAATGTCCCCTAAAAGCTATCTCTGACACCACCTGGGGGTCAATCGCCTAATGGAATTGCTATGGCTACCGCTATCGCTTACGATTTCATTTGGTTATTTCTGACCGCCGAAAGATTTCAAATACCTTACGCTTTTTTTCTTTTAAATTGTTGTTACTAATATAAAAGAAAAAAAAAGATTGCGGGGCATTTGAAAACCTTCAGCGGTCAGAAATCCTCCAACCTGCCATCACCTCCAGCTTCTTGGCTTAAACATTTGATTCAATGCTTTATTTCTTTTTCTTTTTTTTTACCTTACAGCGTGAAAACCTAAAAACGAATATTTTTGTCATTGTTAAACTAATACTTACTTTGTATGTGACACTCTCGCTTTGACTACACCTATGCAGTTTCTCCTTTAACAAGTTCCCATCAAAGTTCACATACGACTGGTGGATATTCCTAAAGTAGTCAGCATCACGTATTCTTATGTTATACTTGCCAGGTGAGTTCCAGTGAATTACCTGGTAACATAAATAAATAAAATAAATAAATATTTCTAACACACACACCAATAGGGGTGATGACGGGGTACAGTAAACGAAATTCTATTTAGTCCGTCAGTTAGATAATCAAAAAATAATGGAGACGTATTTTTTCTTTGGACAATCAACCAAAAAATGACAAATTTATAGCGCGTCAAACTTTGGGAGTAGGGGCAAGTGACGTCACTTTTAAGTGAATTTTCACTTAAAAGTGAACTAAAACGTGACGTCATGCGACTTTTCAATGGGCTAGTTGACTCATGTCGAATTGTATTAAATAAATGTTTATTTCTTAAAGTATTTCGTCTAAGGAACCTAAATATATCGATTTCACTTCATAAAAGCAGAAGATTGCTGTAGAAATTTAATTTAAAAAAATAATTTTTAGTCTATATTTTCTAAACACTAAAAACGCTATTCGCCACATCCGCCATGATTGTGACGTCTCTTATGGTAAACAACTAAATGTCATTCGCGTGTTACTGTGGGTGGATTCTTTCGTCTGACTAAATTTATCTTAAAACACTTTTAACTTTAGAAAAGTTTCCGTTTACTGTTTTTTTTTTGAAAAAACTAATTATGGATGCCGGCTTTGTGAAAACGGAAAGCACAAATCTGCCAAGAATTGACGCATTCATGGTTGGTGAATTTATTGCACTAAACTCCGATTTCTGCTCTGCGGAGCAGAGAAACGACAAGGCATCTATGTAAGTACAGTGTATTTAGTATTACAATGTAGTAATCAACATAAAACTGATACAACATATGAATAAGTGTAATAAAGTTGCGTAGGTTAATTTCTTTCGGCACTTTTAATCCAAAACTTTCCTGGAGTCTTCAAGGATGTGTTTTTATATTCTCGTACAATACAATAATGATAATTACTTTATTTTTTGGGGTATTTATTAGAAATCATCTTTTGATTATTATAAAGTCAGTTAAGTTATTTTCTACGTGCTTACGAGTTTTTGTTTATTCACCTTTCCTATGTGTTTACTGCAGTTAACGTCATAGCATAGATAATCTATAGACTAAAATGGCCGACAGCGTTTTTGTATATCCATGAAAAATCTATTTTAAAATTAAAGATTTGTAGCTTTTTAGGTCTCAAAAAAAATACAATACATTTTTTTTCGGTCTAATAGAACATTTATTAACCATTTAAAACCTTTTTCCAAAAAGGGTCAACTAGCCTATTCAATATATCTCTGCAATGTTTATATTATGTGAAAAAAGAAAAAAATACGTGTCCAATACTTTTTGATAATCTACCTGATAAACAAAGAAAAAAAAATAGTCATCATCCCTATTGGTGTGACCCTAGCAACAAAAAAAGCACGCAAGGCTCCTGCTATGGGTTACTAGAGTAACGGATAGAATACATACTGATACATATATCTATCTAGTAATACATACTTATACACGTCTATGACTTACGTATGAATGCACATATTCATCATATAAACATTTGCCCCACCCCCAGGTATCGAACCTGGGACCTTAGTGTAGGCGACACCTTGAAACCTGGCGTACATACCGATATTTTTTACTTAAAGTTGATGGTTCTTCTGATGATAAAATATCATCCTTGTTCATGGGCAACTGTAGCACCAGGCTTCTTTCATTAAAAGAATATGAAGCAGTGTTCAGTCATGGTTTCAAATAGACCTAATCAAAATAAATAGCTAGGATTTTGTTATATTATATTATATTTTGTTATATAATTGATAAGATGTTGGCTCAATGGCGTAAAAGTCAGGCAATTATTTTTCATTGACAGATAATAAAAAACTATGTGTGAGTTGCACTACAGAGCTGATTAAAGATATGACAGTTAAAGTAAGTTAGTGGAACTCACACTATATGACGATGAATGCAGTTGCAATGTGGGTATAATTAAAAAGCCTAGCTCAATAAATTATATTATTGCTATTCCTACCTTCAAATTATTTGTGTCCTCTCCATAGCAATTTTTTGCCAAAGTCTTCGTAGACATTTGAACGTTATACTGACAGCTTATGTTATACACAAACTGGGGGTTTTTCATGATCATCGCATTAATGACATCTTGGTCGGCTAGTGTGGTTTGTTTCATGCGATCCAGATTGCTGCCTACTGCGTTGTGCCATAAGGAAGTCCAGTCCACGTAAGTTCTGATTTTATGTAAATCCAACAACATTATCCCCGTGTTGTACCCTCTACCTAATGCAGGCCAGTGCTTTGTTGTGTCATAGTACCAATCACTTTCGTTCTCCACTAATCCTATGAACTGGAAACAATAAGGAATAAATTAAATATATATTTCATTTTCTATGATATTATGTTTTTGTGCTGTTACAGTCATGGCAACTGTTATAATATTTTGGTTAAAATTTGAAAATAACAAATAAGGTAACAGCATACATAAAGGACATCTTACCTGATCATCAGTCATGTTCCTAAACATTGCCCACAATTCCGCAACATCACACAGGAATGTCAAGTCTGAGTCAAGAACAATCACTTGTTTCAGGTTAGCGGGCAGTATGTTTGGAAACAAAAGCTTGACCAGCCCATAGATGCCTGAGTAGTGACTGTTTGGAATCCATCTCACATGTATCAGTTGACTTTGTGCATTGTAACATGTGTACTTTACTGCAGACCAAAGAATGAAGGACACATTGGGTGTTAGAATTGGATGGTGAAAGCAGTTAAAACACATGGAAAATTGAAAATTTATCTACTGTAAAGTGAATGAGTGTTTGGTCATTGGATGGGTGGGAAGGCATGTTAAGCCATTGAACCCAGCTGCATCTGCAGTCGTCAGCATCCACCAATCTGCATTGGACTGCATGGTGGGTCATGGCCCAATCTCCCAATTCCATCTTTAGGGAAGGCTTCTGCCCCATCACTGGGGACATTAATAGGCTGATGATGATGATTTACTACCTATATTATATTCTATATAGAAAACAGAAAAAAAATACTAATCAATACAATATGTTTGACAAACAGATCTATAGTTACTATTAATTCTAAAATAAAATAAAAACTGTCATCGACTGGCAAGACCATAATTACATACACAATTTGACATTGATAGAGTGAATAAGTATTTGTTTTCCCACTCACCATCAGGTAAATCCCAGGATTCAAAGAGTATTTCTGTAGTATGCTGCGAAGATCCATCGACAATGAAATGGAAATGAATTGGATTTTGACGATGATGGAGCAGTGACTTCAGCATAGGAGTGATAAGTCTCATACATTTTCCCATACATACTAATGCTACATGCACTGTTTCACAGACAGTGCCAAAAGCATCTGGTATCTGGAATTATATAATAGTTTACTGTGTAACTAGAAATAGATATTTACTCAATTTGAGGTGCTCGATGGGAGCAAGTGGTTAGCACATTCGGCTGCGATCATTGAACTCAAGCAACTTTCGGAGTGTTTGGTCATTGGATGGGTGGGAAGGCATGTTTAGCCGTTGATTCCGGCTGCATCTGCAGTCGTCAGCACCCACCAATCCGCACTGGGCCTGCATGGTGGGTCATGGCCCAATCATCCTATTCCATCTTTAGGGAAGGCCTGTGCCCCATCACTGGGAACATTAATAGGCTGATGATGATGATTTACTCAATTTGAAGAATTTATTAACCACAACATACCAGTATAGTAGTTTCTATCATTAATATTTAGATAAGGATAAAAAAAGCCACACCTGATTCAAATGATATGGTAAAAAAAATTATAAAAGTGAAAGAATTCAAATGTAGAGTTCTTTTTTTATTTGTTATATCGGCAATATGCCTGATTAAAACTGTGGGCTCAGCTTTCCATTATATGTAATTGAGTTGCAAGCTGAAATTTTTGTCACGCAAAGTGTTAACTATTAAAAACACGTACACGAAATCTTTTTAGGCGGAAACGAATAGAACTCGAAAAAAAAATTATTGAAAATTAATATTTTTGTAGGTTATGAGTCAATTTTGACAGCAATTTTGATCAGTGCTGCCATTTTTTTATGCAAAAATAACATGTTTCTCGTTGTCTATGGTAAATATAAGTTTATTATGTTGGTACTATTGTCAAAATGTGACAATTTACCGCCATTAATGAGATCTGTCAGTCAGTGTTTGTGTTCGTCGCAGTTGAGAGCTTTTTCGTACTCCTGTTGATATTAACGTCGTCTGACTACCATGGCATCCTCAAAGCGTTCGACCTCGAGTTCTGCTGGCCCTTCGCCTGAAGAGTCGAGTGTAGTGCGAGTTTTGGACTCTAATGAGCCGCTTGTGTGGTGATACTTCACACTAGGTTAGGTTAGGTTAGTGTTGTGACCTTAACGCGCGAGCCGAGCGAGCGAAGCGAGCGTGCCGCGGCAGCGGCCGGCGAAGCGCCAGAAAGAAAAATTCGTTAATAGAGACTTTTTCTACAAAAAAATCAAATATCATCTCTAGGCCCTGGAAGTACAGTTTTACCTTTAAAACCCCTCCAATTTTTTTATAATTATCATTTTTGTAAAAAAACGCCGGGAGGGGGAGGGGGATTTACCCTTCCCTCTGAGGGGTCTTCCCTAATACCTATCCCCCTGAAATTCCACTACATTTAACAGATTTAATGAATTTTTAGGTTAGGTAAAAAAAAAAAACTGCATTTCCGCCAAAAATCTTTTATGGCGGGGGGGTCGGGGGGAGCCCCCCCTCCACCCCCCCTACAAATTACCCCGAAATTCAATTACATATAATGGAATTAAGTACCAAACTGTGTAAAATAAAAGTAGAATTAAATACTTACAACAGGAATTTTATATGTTGTAACAGAATCTACTGACATTTGTCTGAGCACTGACTGTGAAAGCCTAAGTTGAGTCTTGAAAACTTTGTTCTGTGTCTCTAGTACACTTATCCGAGATATCAACCACCAGTAATACACCACAGATACTGCTATCCATATTCCAAAAGGTACCCCTAACCAGGGTCGAAGAAAAAGGCACGACAGCACATTTTTAGGCTTAATTATCATTCTGACTGTTGCATTATATTTTTTTTTAATATTTATTTCAAATTGTTATTATATCAAAATAATGAGCTATGTGTAATCTGTAAATCATGTTCATTAAAACCACTTTAATTTTTAAATTATGAGAAACAAATTAATGTTTAATTATATTGCTTCATGAAATACATTTAAAGCATGCAAACTTCTTATGATTTATTGGAAGTCTTGTGCACTTACCAGTCTTACCAGCCAGTTGTTAACAACCTATTTACATTTTTGTTAGCGCAGGTAAACTTATTACTGTTTAATTGATTAACTACCTGCTTTTTTATGTAAAATTTTTATTCCGTAGTGTTTTTAGTTTTAAACAACTACTACACTGGGAGTGAGAACTAAAATTAATTGTTTTAAACCTTGTTTAATTATTAACTTTGCAGAATATAGCGAAATGTTTACAAAATATAAAATCGGCATGTCCTTTTTTTCTTTGATTAAGTTCTCCCTTTTCAGGGAAAGCAAAGAGAACAATGCCCATACAGCCTAGTCTTAAGTTAAATTATTTTGTTTTTCTTTTTACATTAGAATGTCGGTGTGACGCATTCTAATGTTTCTTGAAGTGTTTGGCACGAAATTTATCGAGCTGGCTTTTTCGATAAGCTTCTGTGAGGTCGTCAATACTACAATAAAATTCTCACGTCCACTTGACCGGAATAGCGTATGTTTTGACGATTCTACTAATTCTTCAGTTACGCAGGCAGTTGTAACACAAAAGCACACCAATTTTATTTCACAATATCCACTATGAACGAATTTAAGAATAATTAAAATAAGACGCCAACCACACTCGATGAAGTACCGCCAAAAACTCTTTTTTTTTTGGTTAAGTTCTCCCTTTTCAGGAAAGGCAAGGGGAACAATGCCCATACAGCCTAGTCTTAAGTTAAATTATTGTGTTTTTATTTTTACCCGGCTGCGCAATGCAAGAGCGCGAAGCGCGACGCGCAGACAGGGTTATGTGTTTAACAGTCTATATATGTATGTTTGTTCCTTTGTGGCACACTAGAGACCAAACGCCTGGACCGATTTTGATGATTCATACATCAATCGATTCGTCTCAATCATGGGAGTGCTACTAAAGATATGATAGTAATCAAAATTCAATATGGGCAAAATTAGGCGCCATATTGTGACGAAGTAAAAAAAAAAGTTGACAAAATATGTCGAGTGGGGTATCACTGTCTAGATAATCAAAAATCATATTTAGGTTCCTAACACCATTTTTCATTTTATGTGATAGTTTAGGATTTACAACGCTTTAAAGTTGTATATTAACCACTTACGCTTTTAATTTCAATCTTACGTTTAAATGGATCTTTGTTACTCTTTCACCTAAAAAATACTGAATAGATTTTAATGAAACTTAACAGTAATATAGCTCATATATGATAATTACATATATATAATAATTTATGTAGTTATTGAGTGAATTGGCCAATGTATAACAATAAGTGTCACATAAGACGGAAAAAAAATCTCCCATCTGCGAGTCATTTTGGCCTGCACTGCAAAAATAATAAAAGTTATATGAATGTAATGTAGAGATGTAGATGTATCTCTTGAATAGTTCTAAAAAAAGTCCGTGACACCATATATCTATTTTTAATGTGTGAGTCATTACCGCTAAAATAGTGAATCAAAACTAAAACATTATTTGATATCTATTTGAAAAAGGCACATTTTGATTAACAAATCATTTTTTATTAAAACAAATACTTTTATCGCTTTTGATATTTAAAGGCGATAAACTTTGCTTTTTACACTATGTTATTTCGACAAATACTTAAAAAGTTACAACGATGACAAAGTGATAGCGCGGTGTACTGTGTAAGAGAAAAAAAATGGGGTATTCGCAGTATCTGATCCTATACGAAGTACTAACAATAAAACTGTGATACAGTTCCTTCTTATTAAATGATGAAAAATATATTATCATAATAGGTATTTAGGATTATTGAATTCTAATGAAAAACTCAGAATTTTACTGTTTTTCATTTTTTTTAACGATATTAAATGTTACAAAAAAGGTTTACTTAATATAATGACAAATAACCCATTTTTGCTAGTAAGTACATACTTATTGGATCCCTGTATTTATTAATCAGCTCGCGATAATATTGGTTTTGTAATAATTCTGCAAAATTCAAAGTAAATAATGTAGATTTTTATAGGTAAATCACCCCTTTCATCACCCTACGCCTATAAGAATTGCGATGTTGTAGCTAAGAACCAAGTTCCCATCTACTTCTATATGGGAATTCATTATATTCGATTTAGCTATTAGGGCACGGAAGCGCAACAAACAAACTCACTTTCGCATCTATAATATTATATTATACTTGCTAGTGATCCACCCGAGCATTGTACGGGCGAAATTTATTTATCGGGATAAAATATAGCCTATGTCATTCGGACAAAATGTATTTAAATAAAGAAAAATGTTATATTAAATAATGTAGCTACCTTATGATGAATTAATATTTGAAACCGGTTCAGTAGTTTGACAGATTAATTGTTACAAACATACAAATCTTGCCTCTTTATAATATTAGTATAGATAGTTAGGATAAGATAAGTATTTAATTGATGAAAAAGATTTAAAAATAAAGTAAGTAATAGGTTTATTTAATTATATTTGTAAAAGTTACTTAGCATTTGTGCTTAACAGTGATACGTCATTCGGTATTATTTTAAACAAAAAAAACTTTGGAAAATTATTGCCATGATTGCACTACTGGGAGTACTCTTCATTCGAGCTTTACACTACCAATAAAAAAGGGTCGAACACAAAGTCTTTGACCTGTTAAATGTGAACGCTTTAAAAGAAAACTAGAAAGAGAACTATAAATTGATAATAAATGAGATTGCTATGGTGCTCTACCTAACGTTATGAAAATTTTATTATGCGCCTTTAGTTTAATCAAATATTATAAACTTTGCTTTGGTGATTGCATAATTATTTAATTTAGTGATCTAAGGCAGTTGCCACCATTGCCCAAAACAACAGACGGGAATTACTGCTTTCTTCAACCTGCGACATAAACGTCATTGATTGGTATTTTAGATAGGGTGATTAAAAACATTTGAAGTTAACTTCTGGCATCTACATATTAGGTTTCTGTGAATTATGTAGGTACACACATCAAAAGTGTCTAGGGATCAACATATATTTTTGCAATAACTTTTCTCCTGATTGATATTAATTAAAATTTTCTTTAAGGATTCATCAAATAAAGTGTTTTCGTTTGTCACAGTAACGATAAACCAAGTCACCTTTGCATTAATAAAGAAATTTGCCATTTTCCTAATAGAGGGATTTTTGACATTTGAACCACTAACACAAAAGTTCGAAAAAAAGACTGAAATAACAGTTTTCTCTAAAATTTTATTGGGTAACTTAAACAATTAATAATCCGTATTTCTACCGCGAACACTAACAACACAAGAACATCGGTTTGGCATACTCAAAATGAGTTCATCCAAATCACGCTGTGGAATGGCCGCCCATGTTCGTTGCAACAACAAAAAAAGGTCTTCTTGCGACTGGATACCCTCCATATTCGGCAGAGCTCTTCTCTGTAGCATATCCCATGCATGCTCAATCGGGTTCAAGTCTGGCGACTGAGCAGGCCAGGGCAGGACATTGATGTTAGCTGCGGCGAGAGTCTGTCTTACAACTCTTGCGGTGTGCGGTCGTGCATTATCATGCATTAACTGAAATAAGGGACCGATTTGCACTTGTAGAGGAACGATGACGTCTGATACAATCGTCTCAGCATAAATTTGAGCGTTGAGGTTGCCTCTGATCCAAATCAACTCAGTTCTTCCGCCGATCCAAATACCCGCCCATACCATGATGGTTCCACCACTATAAGGATGGACTTCCTGGCAGGATTTTAATCGCTGTTGGCGTCCAGGGGTTCTCCAGTGTCGTATACGTCTTGTATCCGGTCTCATACCAAAACGAGACTCATCAGAAAAGCACACGAAACGCCATTGTTCTTCTGCCCAATTTCTGTGTTCAAGAGCCCATTGATATCGAATCCTACGATTGTGCATTGCTATAGGTGGTACCCGTAGCGGTCTTCGGGAATGAAGGTTCACTTCATGCAAGCGGTTTCTGACTGTTTGGTCGCTAATTAAGTTCCCTGAAGAGTGATGAAGCCTCACGGCTAACATCATGGCGGTTATTGTTGGAGCTCTTCGAGTTAAGATTTGAATGTATCGGTCTTGTCTCCGTGTGGTGCAGCGATACCGTCCTCCATGGCGCTCAGCCACGGTACCAGTGCTTCGGTATCGTGTCCAAAGTCGACTGATAACACTCTGACTTGTATTCAGAGCTAAAGCCACAGTACGTTGCCGGGAACCAGCTTCTATCATTCCCACGGGTCTGAGCATTTCTTCCCTGCTTAAATGACGTCGCCGCTCCATAATAACGTTGGTTTTAATCAGTAGTAGGGAAACAGTAGCACTAATAATGTCTTCAATGCGTTGTATGTTTTTATAGGGAAAATATTGACAGCTGATTTTCATCTTTTACTCGAATTTGATTCACAGTTCCTGATTCAAATTATGAAATGCACCAAATAGGATCCATATAAATTTATAAAATCATAAATTTATTACAAAGCCACATCTCAATCTCAAGAAATCCGCATAAAAATGCTTGATCCCTAGACACTTTTGATGTGTGTATATCAAATTGTGAGACTGGGGACTGACACTGAATTTGTGTATATCATAAACTTAGACGTCCGGCATTGACATGACAATGCAGCCACTGCCAATTTTAAATAGTCGACGTATAAAAGTAAATGAATTTTATATTTACTGCTAAACTATTAAAAAAAACATAAACAAAAGATGACTTTTTGAGTAAGTGTTAGTTTACTATAAAATTTACATACATTAGAGATATTTATGTAACGACTTGATTTAACTTCACACATTTTTGCGAAAATTGAGGCCCATCTGTAGCCTTGACCCCGCTGGTAAAGTCTTTATATGTCTTAATAAATCAATCTTTTAGACCGACGCAAGGTACTTAATAATTCCCGCGATATTAATTCCCTTACTGAAGTAACAAGACTACGGTATATACCGTCTTAAAATACTAACTAACTAAAAAGTGTGAAATAAAAAAGGTAAATTTAAAAAATCAAAAAACCCGACTGCTTAATTATACCTACTTCAAATAAAAACTGAAAAGAAAAAAACAAGTCCAGTAGTCTATAATTCTGTTAACCCGGCGTTCGCACAGTTGGGTCTATTTGACCCGAGCAGTTTTCAAATGAGCGTGTTTCTTAAAATGTTTGTGCGACTTTGCCAAACTTCTCAGTAGCTGGAGCTAATGGTCCCCCCTCCACGTGGAATTCGCCAATCAGTCGTGTTGCGGCCGCAGCGAGTGATAGACACGGCCAAACACGAAAAAGGTAAATATGACCCAACCATACTATTCGTGTCG